CTCACCAAGCCATTTATCTCTCTGCCCTTCAGTTAATCCCCCCTTGTGTTTATCGGCCAGGCTGACACAATAAACTATCTCACTTATATTCTCTGCTTTTAGCCAAGATCCCTCTGACATCCTCTTTGAAATCTGGCCTGAAATTTCTAGAAGCTCCCTACAATTGTTGAGGAAAATTCTACTTGCATATGATAAGTGTTGTTCTGTAATTTTCTGATTCTGTTGGGTCACCTTTCTTTGGAATGGATTTAAATATGGATCTCTTCCAGTTGGTTGGCTAAGTAGCTATGGTCAATTTCTTGACATAGATGAGTGCTTTCAGTGCTTTATCAACTTATTGAAACATTTCAATTGGCATTCCATCAATTCCTGGGGCCTTATTTTTGTCTAATGCTTTCAATGCAACTTGGCCTTCTTCCATCAGCACCAGTGATTCTTGATCATATGCAATGAAAGTATTAGATATCGACTAGTTCTTTTTGGTCCCATCTTTTTGTGATGCTTCCTGCATCATTCAGTAGTTTGTCCAGAGTCTTTAAGTCTTGCAACTCAAGACTTCCCTTTTGGTTTACTAACTCTAGGTCTTTTCAAATTTCATTATAATAATTTACCATATATACTCGAGTTTAAGATGACTCGAATATCAGCAGAGGCACCTGATTTTACCACAAAAACTGCATTATAAATGTGCTGAAAAACTCAGCTTATACACGAGTATATATGGTACTTTTTCTTCTCGGGCTTCCCTTTGAAATTTTCTGTTCAGCTCTTTGACATCATCATTTCTCCCATTTCCCTTAGTTACTCTAGGTTTGAGAGCAAGTTTCAGAGTTTCTTGACATCCACTTTGATCTTTTCTTTCGTGTCTTTAATGATCTTTCACTTTCTTTATGTTAATGCCATCCCACATTGTGTTCAATGTATCAAATCTGTTCAGATGTTCTCAAAATTCAGGTGGCGAATACTCAAAGTTGCCCCAATTTTTAGCTCTCATGGACTTAGCTTCAATCTGAACGTACACATGAGTATTAAGCTGTTGTTATTAAGCTTCTCCATTGTCTCTTCCCACAGTTGTAGTCAGTGTGATTTCAATGTATTTCACCTGAGGAATTCTGTGTGAATATCACTCTTTGTGTTGTTAAAAAAACAAGGTATTTGCAATGGTGAAGTCCTTGGTCTTGCAAAATTCCATCATGTGATCTCCAGCTTCATTTCTATCCCAAAGGCCATATTTCCCAATTGTTCCTTCCTCGAATGCATCTTGATTTCATGTTTGATCATTTTCCAACTGACTTTGGTAGAATTCAATTCTTCATCACTAGCTTTAGTGGTTGGTGTGTAAATTTGAATGTTTTATTGATTGCCTAATAGGTGGACAGATATTATCTTAACAGCATTGTACTTCTAGACCTTGAAATGTCTTTTTTGATGATGACTGCAAAGCCATTCTTGAATTCATCATTCCAACCATAGTAAACCATGATTTTCTGATTCAAAATAGCCAATACTAGTCCCATTTCCACTCATTAATGCCCAATATTGCTTTTTGCATTCCATTTCAGTTTTGATAACTTCGATTTTCCTAGATTCATACTTTGTATATTCCAAATGTGGATTGTAAATGTTGTGCTCCATTAGGAAACAGAAGTCCTACAGGCTTTATTCTATCTACCTCATTATGGTCAACTACACTTTGAGAAGGCAGCTCTCCCTCAGTCATCCTCAGTCATAAAGCTCTTGCTCACTAATACAGAGTGCCTTTTAATCTGAGGGGCTCATTTTCTGGCAATGTTGTGCTGTTATTAATGAGGTTTTCACTAACAATATTCAGCTGACATTCATAAGGCTTTTAGTGGTTAATACCTCAGACATTCCTTCTGTGTAGTCTGGTCTTAGTCTGTAAGCGCTACTGAATTACTCATTTTGGGTAAACCTGCTGGTGTTTTAAATTCCAGCAACATAGCTTCCAACATCACACAAGCCACCACAATATGATAAAGTGGTGGCATTTCTTCAAACTTCTAATTTATTGACTTTTGTGGTGTGAAAATACCTTCTATGAAACTCCAAGCTCATGATACTTAAGCTAATGAATCCCCTCTATTCAAACTCTATATTCTTGGAGCTGCTTTAGACTGATTTGGCTTTCCTCACTTGATTTTAAAGTGTTCTGCTTTCTGGGTTAGTTGTTTTGACTGTGAAAGAATGAATAGTCACGTATTATAACAGTTAGACCTCCATCTTAAGATGGTTTGATATGAGTGTGCCCAGAGAAGAGCTATATGGTCTTGGGGTTTACTACCTGGGGTAGGTCCTAGCTTATGACACACTTACTATCCTTTGCTCCCCGTGTGTCACTGCCCATCCTCACCCTCACCCCTGCAGTAGACAGGAGAAAATAATATAAATCCTCTTCTTTCCTCACGTCTAAAATTAAGCATATTATGTATTACACAAAAACCTAGCCTTTTAGTCATTCATGCGTTTTCATTAGAAGTAAAACCAAGTTTGAGGAAATGATCTATTTTTGAAACAATTCACAGATACACAGAGAGTGAAGAAAACGATTGATCACAAATGTTAAATTACACATACACCCTAGAGAAAGTATCTTAGCTGTCTGAGTATTTGCTCATATTTATATGAAGAAACGTTAGAAAGATACACAAGAAATAAAGAAATGTTGGAGGCATAGAATAGGGGTTAAAACTGGAGTGATAATTTATGTTGAAAAGTTTTTATATTGTTTTGATGTTTACATTCATTCATGTAAAATATAAGAAAAAGTAGTATCTATATATACGTGGAAGGAACCCTGATGGTACAATGGTTAAGTGCTTTGTTAGTAACCAAAAGGTGGATGGTTCAAACCCACAAACTGCTCCAGGAAGAAAAGATCTGGTGATCTACTTCCTTCAAGATTATAACCTAGGAAACCTTATGGGTCAGTGTTAATCTGTCCTATAGGGTGGCTATGATTTAGAACCAACTTATCGATAGACAACAATAATATCTACAGGGAGCCTTGTTCCTGTAGAACGTATTTAGGCACACAAACATGCCACATTTTGGTTTTTTTGTATGCCCCTTGCTGGGGATAAAACCAGATCCTTCAGTGGTTTGAGGGTCAACAGGGATTAGTAGAGTTGGACTACTGCTCAGTAGGAGTTATATTGAGACAGAAAGTTTAGCTTCAATAAAAGTTCTTTTAATTTGACAGGACATCCTCTTATAGGAAGGCCAAGACGGTGTTCTGACCCCAAGTGGAAGAATTGGCAAAGGTAAGGACATACAGCTCACTCATGGCCATTTGGCTACCAATATTCCAGTATCTGTCTAGTTACTTTAGGGAACTTATTGTGCAATGATAAGAAATAGTAAATCTACCTGAGTGAAAGATAAGTGGAGGGGTTGAGGTGCCTACCCTGGGTCTTGACAAGGAAATCGTTTGAGGAAGTGACTAAGCCACCACACCATCCAAATGATTGAAAGAGTTGGAGAGAGGCATCTCTGTGGTCCATGGATCATATGGGTTATCAATGAATCAGTAATTGACAGTTGGATGGTCATTAAGGAAACAGGTTGATTGATTCTGTTAGGCAAGAAGAAGTGTAATCTTCTAGAGAAGAAAGGCAACTGGCTAACTCCAGTCAGTCATCTCATGACCTACTTGAAAGCCCTCTGCATTTAATTGGACCTGCTGGGAGATAGGAGGGAAATGTAAAATAAGCAGACATTCCATTGGCTCTGCAGCTGGTTAAAGAAGAGGGCTACTGTGGCTGCCTCAGATAAAAATGCACAAAGGAAAACCCCGATTTAAAAATACAAAAATAAACAAAAATCCAATACCTGTTCATTTTTCAATTTAGACAGAGTCCTTACTATGATTAGAGAATTATATTTCTCTAATTTCCTGAAAAACATTTTGGCAAGAAGAGTGCTCACAGCCAGCACCTGAGAGGTTTCCAGCCCCTCCCTGAGTGGAGAAACAAAGAGAGCCATACTGCTATGCACACATACATGAAAAATATTCAAGTACAGTAATAAATTTTATTTAAAATAAGCTAATAAAAGACAGTGCAAAAGAATTATGACACTCAATAATTTATGATTGTTTACATTGCCAAGCATTGGTTGTTAGTAGACACTGTGTGAAGAGAAACCCATAGAACCCAATCCCTGTCCTGTGGGCAACAGGGACTCCTGTCCCTTCAGACTGTCCTTCTGTCCTTTCATTCTTGTCCTTCAGAATGATTATGGCCATGGCTCCACTAAAGGCCATGTAACCAGCAGAGAGGTGCACATGGGACTACTGGTTGCTGGGTGCAGGACCTGCTCCTCCGCACTAAAGCATGAGACAATAGTGCAAGGTCAGAAGGCACTATATTCCTCTGGACTCACCCTTGTAAGGAGCATCATTAAGCCTCAGCCCGAGCTCCCATAGGTATCCTCAATGACCCCTTCCCTACAGAATCTACTCCCACTGGTGATTAGCCTTCTGTAAACATAACTTCAGGCTGACAAAGCCCGCGTGTCTAAACAAATGATGAAAACTAAAATGACAATGAAAAACCTCCATTCCTTGAGAAATCCTAGACTACTTCATTTTCCCTTGCTACGTCATTCAAAGCTTGGAGAGGTGCTAAACGCTCCTTTGAAATGGGTTGCGCACTTGATGTGTGAGTGAATGGTGGAGAGTGAGGGACTTTCCGGCCAGCCTCGCTCCTCGTGAGGAAGGATTGACAATGGAAGTAGAAAGTCGGCCTAGCCATGGGGGCCTGCCTGCAGTGGGTACTGCTTGTGATCTTATAGACAAGCACATGCAGCAGGTCCCGGGAGAGGTAAAACAGACTAATGGTATTACAAGGGCAGACCCTTCTGAAGCAACAGGCAGCATGAACATGTGTGACAAGGGCTCCTGGTGGTTGGAGTTATTGTCATCACCGGTCCACAACCAGAAGTCCCATGCATACTCTCATAGGATGCTATACTCTCATTCCCAGTCCCTGCTGGTTGTGTGTTTGGGTTATGCCTAGCAGCTCTGAGAAGCAAAGCCCCAATTGGGGCATCATAGGCAATCTCCAATCTGAAGCTGGGGGGCCACTCTTGGCCCCTGATGTCCAGTATAGAGGGACAGCAATAAGGCCTGTGACAATGGCATTAGTGAGCACTCAGTCCAGAATGTCAGTCTCGAAGGGAGCCAGATGGTAATAAGAAAGGTTGGTGACATACGCTGCTGGGTCATCACCATCCTCCAACTCTGAGGCATATTCACTGCCATTCTCATACCTGAAATGAGAAAGAGTATAGAGGTTAACAAATGCCCCCCCACCAAAAAAAGGAAGAGGGGCACGAATTCAACCACTCAACCACATAAGGACACTCAGGGACCCATTGCAAATACTCTGGAGAGGTTCTCCACCATCCCTCCCAGAATGCACAAATGTTGCTGGATCAACAGACAATGTTCTTCTCCATGCATAGTCATAAAGTATGGACATAGCCAAGGTCATAATTATTCAATTCAACATAAAGACTCGTATAGCCTGAAACCCAAAGGAAGGCTGAACATGATAGTGGGACAAGAAGAAAGGAAAAGGAAATAGAGGAAAGAACTAGGAGGCAAAGGCCATCTATAGAGGTCTTAAATACAGGCATGCACATATGTAAATATATGTATGACAATGGGGAAATAGATCGATGTACATATTTTTATAGGTTTAGTATTAAGGTAGCAGATGGACATTGGGCCTCCACTCAAGTACTCCCTCAACACAAGAACACTTTGTTCTATTAGCCTGGCATTAAGTCATGCTCACCTTCCCGACACGATCACTGAAGACAAAGTGGGTGCATAAGTAAATGTGATGACGAAAACTGATGGTTCCCAACTATCAAAAGATATAGTGTCTGGGGTCTTAAAGGCATGAAGATAAACAAGCAGCCATCTTGCTGAGAAGCAACAAAGCCCACATGGAAGAAGCACATCAGCCTGTGTGATCACGAGGTGTCAAAGGGATCAGGTATCAAGCATCAAAGACCCAGAACAAAAAAAAATCATATCATTGTGAATGAAGGGGAGTATGGAGTGGAGACCCAAAGCCCATCTGTAGGCAACTGGACATCCCCTTACAGAAAGGTCAGCGGGAGGAGACAAACCAGTCAGGGTGCAGTATAGCACCGATGAAACATACAACTTTCCTCTAGTTCCTAAATGCTTCCTCCCCACCACTATCATGACCCCAATTCTACCTTAAAAATCTGGCTACACCAGAGCTTGTACAAGGATACAGACAAAAACTGGCAACACGGGGAATCCAGGACAGTTGATCCCTCAGGACTAATATTGGGAGTAGCCATACCTCGAGCTTAAAGGGAAGGAGGGGGAGATAGGGGGAACCAAACACAATGATGTATCTATAATTCCCTCCCAGGGGGGTGGACAACAGAAAAGTGGGTGAAGGGTGACATCAGTCATTGTAAGACATGAAAAAAAATGTATAAATTATCAAGGGCTCATGAGGGAGGGAGGGTAGCAGAGGGAGGGGAAAAATGAGGAGCTGAAACCAAGGGTTCAAGTAGAAAGAAAATGTTTTGAAAATGATGGCAACAAATGTATAAATGGGCTTAACACAATAGATGGATGGATGGATTGTGGTAAGAGTTGTATGAGTTCCCAATAAAATGATTTATTAAAAAAAAAGACTCATATAGCTTCCCATTTTCCATTTCTAAAGCCCTGTTTTTCTCCCAAGGATCAGCTGGTGGTTTTGAACTACTGACCTTGCATATCACAACCCAACTCATAACCTCTACACTATCAGGGCTCCTTGCCCAAGAGTAACATAAATGCCTTCCTAGTATTGATTCCCTCATGAATACAAACTATTCCCATCCCCTGTCCAATTCAGATGTGGCATCTTTTACCAAAAAAGACTCCAAACTTTTTAAAACCCCTCTCAGAGAATAACATCATGCAGTACATTCCTCCAGGAAGGGAGCTGGAAGACAAAGTTTGTACTTCTATTTCCCTTAACCTCAGATTCCGTCCAAACCACGCAGGATGTGGAGGAGAAGTGGAGGCAGGTTGTCTACCCCCAGCTGTCAGGAGAGTGGGCATGGTTCTTAGTCTTTTCCCCAATGCCTGATGTATCATGGACCAGCGAACAGCTGTAGACACTCCATTCACTTGGACAGTTTGCAGTGACCACATGAGCTTACTGGAATATGCCCTACCCCTGCATACCAAGTGCACCACACTGGAATCCTGCTGATTTCAAACAGTGCTTCCTCTAGTGGGAAATTCAAAGTAAAAAGGAGGTGATTAGGTGGCTAGAGCTCTAAAGTGCTTGAGTACAAAGGGACACAGGGTAGATTTCCCCTTTAGATGCCCCACTAGTGTGTCTGAGGCAGCCCAGAATCTCCAGGCCCTGGTCACCCTTTGAGGTATCATATCTTGAGGACAAGCTCAATATTCCAACTTTTGTTTTGTTTAGTTTTGAGGGTCTTACTCTCTTTCCCAAATGAATGCCACAGAAACAAAAGGGAGGCAAAGCCCTGCTCTGAGGTCCTGAATCACAGATGGACAGGAGGGATGGGAAGGGAAAGCTCGGTGCTTTGGGAAATGAAGTTGGCCTGAGGTCCTCAATTCGCTGTCAGACCTCTCCCCCTGCCCTGGCCCTGGCATGTGAGGGTGGAGTCAACGTGGTCAACCTCCTGGTCTGGGGGTGCCTTCCGCCAACAGCCCAGCCTATCCCCATCACCACCAGGGTTCCCCCCCCCCACTCAAGCAGTAGGTTCTGTGCTTGGGGAACTGGCAAGCACCCTTCCGTGATGACAGGCACTGCCTGCGTCAAGTCTGACGCCATGCAATTCACAGGCACAGGCTGGACAGTCACCCTCTAGGGCCAGTGGGGATAGCTGCAGCCCGGGAGGTGCAGCTTCATCATTTCAGTGTCCGTTCTCCAATGCCAGTACTTCTGTGGAGCAGCCCCACGGATGTGCCAAATTATGCCGAACCAAGTGTTCCTGAGGGACAGTGCGGCTGCTAGATCAGCTGCGTGAGCAGATGGGGCACCCTGGCATAAACCAAAGGTAGGGAGTGCAATATATAAGTTCAGATCAGGAAGATATGCAGTGCCTTCAGCCACATGAATGAAGACAGTTGTTGTTGGCAGGTGCCGCTGAGTAGTAATTCATAATGATTCACTGAGTGACTCACAGTGACGCTAAGCACAACACGATGAAAGACTGCTAGGTCCTTCACTATCTGCACAAACAGGCACTTCTGTCTGACATTTCCTGTTGATAGAGTATCCCCTCACCAGGCAAAGCCCAAGATCAGAGGGAGTGGCCCCTTACCGAACTGTCTTCTTTCTCCCTGGGTTTCTTCAAAGCTCAGTGCCACTCACAGGTTAATGATGTCTTAAACCAAGACTCATTCCCAATAGAAGGAGACCCAATGAGTGCTATGGATTTAGGCAGGGGTTATAGCAGTACCTTGTGAGAGGGACGATTCCCCATTAGTCTTCTGCATCAAGACCAACAGAGGCAGTAACTGCTCCCCTGAAGCCCACAGACCTTCCTCCACTCACTCACTAATCTCATACCTGCACAGAGCCAGCATGGTAGCATCAAGCCCAGTTAGTGATGGAGTCAATAGACACACAGAACCCCTAACCTCAAAATCCCAACCAGGGGGCAGCATGCTGGTGGTGCTATGGCAAGACTTACCAAAGGAATCTGGTGATCGAGGGGACACTACCTCCTGCCTGCTGACACTTCCCTTTCACACTACCATTTCCTGACCAGGACCCTGAGCTGTCTCTCCAAGAGATGCCACCAGACAGCTAAAGAAATCATCTAGTCAGTCAGTGTAGCCCAACCCTGGAGGGCAGGCATCGACTATCCAGGGCCCAAAACATCTGTCTTCAAACTGCTTTCTCTGCAGTGTTGGGCCTGAGATCCCCAGGGCTCACAGGGAGATGCCAGGGTGCATTTGCCAAGTTAACTCTAGTGTAGGAGTCATCCCTAACTAGCAGGAAGCCCACAACCCACTCTTGAAGGAAGTGCAGTTCAGGAAGATCACAAAACCCAGAGAGTGCTATCTCTGAAGCTTCAGGCAAGGCCTGGCTTCTAGGCTGTGAGTCCCGAATCAGCCTGGGGCCCAGCTACTCTGGCAAGGTGCTGAGGAGATGGCCTAAGAGGCACCACAGGGGTAACAACTGACCTCTGCGCCCCTGGTCCTGGAGCTTTTTCAGGGCAGATGTGAGATATGACCTAAACACATGACTAGCAGAGCAGTCAAGCTGACAAGGTATCTCTGACTGCTTCAACTGCCCTCATTAGGCTCATCCTTCCAAGCAGAGCAGGGCTGAGCTGGCCAGACTCCTCTGACCCTGTCCACTAGGCAGAGGCTAATGTCCATGTGCCACTTCTCTCCAGACAGACAGCCTGGGACAAGATGACCATGTGCTCTCAGGCTCAGTGTGAGAAGAACCTCCCAGAGATCTCCTCAAAGCAAGTGACTTGGGCACAGGCCCCACTGTACTCCAGGACAAGGGAACACTACAAACAAATATCCAAGGTGGGCAGGGATGCGTAGAGTCATGGGCGCATCTACTTCTTGCAGACAATGAGCTCGAAGATCCCAGGGGCACCAGGCCAAGTCCGGTTGTACCAGCATCAAGGGTTCTCTTATGTAGGTGGGTATTCAAAGCACCATACTTACAGGTGGTCTGCTGAGTCCACATCCGGGTGTTCGTCCTTCCCATTTGGTATACTGTGGTCAATAACAATGGTCTCTGTATTTGCTAAACAAAAGCCATTGGACCTCATGATTTCTGCAAATCAAAGCAGGAAGGGTTAGAGTCTGAGGTGCTGATTTCTCTAGCATTATTGACAGCCATTTACATGCATCACTCCTGCTTCCCTCTATCTATTGCTTTCCCTTCTCTTCCCTGTCAGTCTCTGGTTTTCCCCCTATCAGGGAAGAGGATTCCGGTCAGGATGGAAAAGTGCTGCTTCAAGTCTCAAGTCCTCAAGACTG